GAAGCAGCATGGGTGAGTAAGAACAGGAGCCTGTCACTCAAGCTCTTCCAATGTGGCTTTGACGACTTGTGACGGGGTCTCGCATTGTCGGGATGAGGTATGCCTTGGCCTGGTCGATGGGGTCCTTTCCATCACATAGCCTGAATAGCCTTTTTAACGCGATATGCCTGGTCATGTTGTGTTCCTAGTCACAGTGGCATTCCTTCCGAGCAATTCCCAGTGGAGTATGCCCATACCATTTCCGTGCTATAGTGTCGCCCATGACACCCTCTCCTTCTACCTTGCACACCCTGACACCTTCAGCAGCTTTTTGGTCGCGAAAAAAAAGAAGAGCAGTGTCGAAAATGTTGTTATCTCCCCCTGGGATACTTCATTTCTGACCCCAAAAAGTGTTGAATACAATATACAAAAAGAACAGTTTTGTAGAAGAGAAAGAGCCGTATCGCATGAATATCATATAGCTGGTCGAAAAGCAGAAAATCGCTGTAAAAAACTCAATAAAAACACTAAGAATTTATTCCTCACTTTAATATCAACATAAGACTCGTAACACCTTTCACCTCTACTTTACAGGATACGAAATAGCCTGAATGATCGCCCGCTTTTTCATTCAAAGTCCAAGTCTTTATGTTTGGGCTGGAAGAGCACACCTATCGTATATCCACCAGATTGCCTCTGTACATATCATATGTCACTTTCGATTGAGCCTAGCTCCGCTGCGAGAAAGCTCAAGTGACCCGGGAATCAGTTAGGTTTAGCGGTGAACAATTTGAAGAACTTGGAACTTATATTCCCTAACGCGCTCATTGTTTCCGTTTCAATTTCGATTTCCAAAAGTGACAAAAAATCGCGTGATCATCTTTCTTTACCCACCCCAAACACTTCGCTGTCTCCAATACCAACCAGAATTTGATAGTTCGGACCAAACATGCCTGCTTCCGCACCCAAAGCAGTTTTTCGAGCTCCCCTTTTTAATTTCGTAGACAGGCTTGGCCCTGAATTATTTTTTTGCAAGCGAATTTCGACGTCTTTGAGCACACCCATATTTCCCACATTCTTGTCAAGCTCAAGGCTCAACAACATGAGCATTTATCATCTTGCCCGTCACAATGTTGTTAGTGTTTTTGAACCTGCTCTCTGCCGATTTGCCGATTGTTATTCCACGAGGTGGAAGAAGTTGGCTGCGTCTGCTTTCTAGCACGCGGCTTTCCTGTTTTCCTTTTATTTTTCACTAACGTTTGCTGACTTACGACCGATCTTATTTTAGGGAGTTGTCAGCCAAATGACAGCAATTTTCGGAAAAACTTGAACACATTGTCAAGGGTTTAAACTGCTGATGAGTTGTTGTGAATAGTATGCCAAAATACACGCCGCGTACTCATCTCGGGATGCTTGTTACAATAAAAACAGCCTATAATGTTTTGGGAGTAGTCAATGTTTCAAGATGTCTGAACGCGAACCGTCCGTCCCCCTGCCTTTTTCGTTTTCCTCCCTTCATTTTCTCTACCCTCTCCCCTACATTCCCTTCCTTTGGATGGTCGGCCAAAAATCGAGAACATATTTAATTCCTATCAACTAGTTACCCCGCTTTCTGGGGTATTTGGCGCACGTATTGGGTTGTCCGAAAGGTTCCGAGGAAATTTCGCTGTTTCAGTTCGAAAAAGTGTAGCTAGCGAATGCGGCAATACAAAAAGTCTATAAAATGCTATGACAAAGAGAAATATTTGTAGATCACAAATGACCTAGCCTTCGGGCTGCTCCATCAATCCAATCGGAAATGAGGCGCTGCCCTCGATATCGGAATAAAACACCCTCCAAAATGACTTGTAGTAGAAGTTTGATCCCTTTTCGGTGTGAAAGGTTAGTTCTGATTCCCCGTTTTTCGCTGCTCACTTCATTCTAGCTCCACCGCAAAGTAATCTTGCTCAAAAATTACAGGCATTGTTCATCATAACTAGTGATTCTTACCTCTTAATGTTATTGATACGTGTTAAACGAACTGAATGGAGATTTGAAAACTTTCCGGCCACACTACAATGAGACGCATCTTCGCCTCGGACGCAACAAATTTTTTTGCGAAACAAATGCGTTTTTTATTTCCTTTTGATTTTTTTTGTTTTTTTCCTCGTTTATGTGGATGACTTGCAATGAATAAACGGTGTTATAATATAATCAGAAGACTGGAATATTAAAAAAAGTGACAGAAAGTGGTGCAGCTGTGTCTAGAAACGTTCCGCGCGTTCTATGTGTGTCCTGCGATCTGCAAATAAATGCGCCATAATCTCTAGGAAATAAGGCAGCATAGTAGGTCTTGTAAGACTCCTTTGTCTATTGTCTGGTTGAAATGGCAATTGTTTCAGAGACTTTCTGCCACGAGGTTCGGGCATAGTTACTCGACGTCCACTTATTCTCCAACTAATTCAAGATAGAAATGGTTGGTTAATATTCATAACATCTACTCCATTGAGGGATCAATTTCAAAATGTGTTTTATTCCAGAGTATGCTGAATTTTTGCACAAGAAAGGGACATATTTTTCCGATTTTGATGCTGTTCGGAAGGAAATCGAAGACGAAACAGATCGAGTAACTGGTCAGAATAAGGGGATATCACCGCATCCTATTAACTTGCGGGTTTTCAGTCCTAACGGTTAGTTTGATTTGTGGTGCTCTATTGTGCTTTGAGGCCTGCTTAACTAATTATCGTAGAATTTGTTTCAAACTTCATAATAGGCTGGGAGATAATAGGTTTCCGTTTCTAACTGGTCTCCCTAAATTTGAGGTACGGGTACGTTCGAATCTTTGCGTCCTCAAGCCGCTTAGCTTAGTAACTTGTGCCCCAATCGGGTAATGGATGAATTGATTGAAAATGGTGAGATTCGTTCCACAGAGCGTATACATGTGCTCGAGTTTCTCGCCGCTTCATTGCCCTTCTATGCCCATTTTGTTTGGCCTAAATCCAGCCTGTTCTGTGCCGTGGAAATAGTCGGCAATGGTACGTAAGGTATAATGGTGTATGCATCGAAATACTGACTGTGAAGACTTCCAATCTGTGTTTTTCCTTATAGACATACTGCACGCTTGCCTACGAGGTTCATGCCATGAGTGAGTTATTTGGTCCGCAGCTGCTATGCGTACCGATTTATCCGCTCAAATCACACGGAAAGTGGGCTGGAGAGTAGTGGTACCCGGTTCGGCTCCATACTTCGCCTGTGCTATCCTCAAGGTGCAACACTTGCATTGGTACCGCAACTAAACACGCATTCAGCGGTAGACAGCCACCAGGAGTGGAAGGAGCAGAAGTAGCGCGTTTGCCATGGCTAGGCGTCTGGCTGATCGTGCGGTAGGGCGGGTTTAGTAATGAGGATCGCCCGTAGTCACCTTCCGATTACAGGGCTTCTGTTGTGAATTCTTTCTCTGCGAAGTCCAAGGGTATTTCCTTAACGCACCTTTTGACGAGCATATGAAGGGAGGCCAATAATGAAGAGGGAAGAGAGAAGGAAGAAAGGAAGGAGAAGGAGGAGCGGGGAAGAAAAAAGGAAAGGAGAAGAAAGCTTCGGTCGACAGATTCCGGAGACCGTATTACCCTGCAGTCCCGTTCCCGTGCACTTTAAGCGGAGAAAGTCGTACGCTGCTGCAACTGCAGGTCCATTGGCAGTGAACAGGTTCCAAGGAATTGAGTATACAGTTTGCCCTGGTACAACATGGTGACGTTGCGCTGACTGAGGTGACCGTCAGTCATGCAATAACTACGTAGGAAAATTCTTATTCATCCTTGCCGAAGTCCGCTACGAACGTTGACAACGAAGTTAGCGATAATTAGAAACGTTTTCATGGTTAAACGGTACCATATTGCTTTTTCATATTTGTTGACATTCAGAGAGGATTTAAAAAATTGCAGTGCTCAATCTCACATTGATCGATCTTCCTGGAATGACAAAAGTACCTGTTGGTGATCAACCACCAGACATTGAACATCAAATCCGCGAGATGATTCTGACTTTCATTAATAGGGAAACGTGTCTCATACTGGCAGTCACACCGGCCAATAGTGATCTTGCCACATCTGATGCGTTGAAACTGGCAAAGGTACTGAATTTCACAAGTGCTTAAAGTACGTTTTCCTTGAAAAATTTTTACAGGAAGTTGATCCACAAGGTTTGCGGACAATTGGTGTGTTGACAAAGCTGGATCTCATGGATGAAGGCACTGATGCCCGCGATATTTTGGAAAATCGCCTCTTTCCACTTCGTCGAGGTATGTGAACGATATTTAGATTCAAAATTCATCCGTTCAGGTCTGAAACTGGGCTGCAGGATTTTACCCTGCTCAAATATTTTCTTCTATAAATCGATAATAACGCGATCTTATCAGTAGGTAGTGAAGCAGAGAACGATTACTTTTCTTGAAGACACATGGTACGATCACACATAGTTTGGACTGTGCGTGACTATCAGCCCCCAGCTGTCGAAGCGTAGCGGTTTCCCCGTCCGAACATGCGCAGGAATGGAGATCCAGGACCGTGGGACACGCTAATTCCTCCATGCTCCGCCTAAAATGCAACTTGCGGCGCAGACTCCCGATCCCGTTTATACTAACAGCCGTCCGCGCGGCGCATATCGCGCGCTTCTGGCACTTTGCCAAGTCCTGTAATTGCGCTTTGGAATACAATTAAAACGCAAACTCCTGATGCGGATAACATTTGAGGTGTTGCTCATGCTGCAAAATCCGAATCGAAGATGATGACGAGGGCCAGAACTCAAGAGCAACTGTGCTGCTTCTGCAATATCCCTCGGAGGCCGCGCATTCCCAAAACATGAAAATAAAACGGCCTAAGCGTTTCACTCGTTAGTTTGAAGTATCTTTATGGCTTTGGAGCCATAAAGATACCGAGCCGGAGTCGCTCCATTGCAAAAATTTACACGGAATTTTAATTAATTTACA